AGACACAATTATCCAAAGAAATCCATTAATTTATACACATACATATTATGTATTTATATATACATATATTTTATATTTATTTATATATATTTTTCAGAATAACAAAAAAGCACTGTATACATGATGCTTCATATAATACCTAGATTTTGCTATTATTTTGTGCATTGGCATCTGAAGATATAAAATGTGAATTGCTATCATTTTTCACTAAATAAAGTATATGGTGAGGGAACCCTTACAATTAAAGTTTCTGGTTAATGCTTTTTTAGATGTTAGTTTTCCCTTATTCTACAGTTATTTTGTTAGTTGTAACATTCTTGCTCCAAAGGAGGAAAATTATTAATTAGTGAGCAATGTATTTTATGTAGTATGTAGTTTTCTAATGAATGTATTCCAATTCTGGTTAGTTTAACAGAGATGCCTTCTTTATCAGCATAAGGATGGTAGAGTTTCAATGCAATATTGTGGAGGCAAATTACACTTCCAGGACTGGCAGATTTTCTTACTGAAACAAACATTCCTACCATCATCTCTTACCAACTCAGTTTCCAACAATTTATAAGTCTCATGACATTTCTCTCTCTATGTGTATAAATTGTTGGTGTCCTTCCTTCAGAGCTGGATAAACTGGAGTTTGAATTCTTGCTTTGTCACTTCCTCACTGGTGACTCTGGACAAATTATGTTCCATCTCTAAACTCTATTTTTTAAATCTGGAAAATGGGACAAATAATATTTGTTTTGTAGGTTTGTTGTGAGGATTATTCTCTGTGAAAAACGTACATAGAGCATTTAACCCAACCCTGACACTTAGCGTACAACATACTATATATACATGTGCACATAAAAGCATAAGTGTAGAGCTGTGCAGAGAGACATACATGCATATGAGTGAATTGACATAAACACATCCATATGCGGTTGAAGCCCTTTGCCTAGTCCCTGCACAAGTTTTCATATTTCTCTTGGAATCCTTCGATGGCTTTTTTAGCCTAAATGTCATCAGAGATAATGTGAAATGCTAAGAAGGAGACTACATTAATACATTAATTCTTTCATGACCAGAAAAGAACTAGTGCCTGGGAATAGACATGGCAATATGTTGTAAGACAGGGACTTTTTGAAGTTTGGTTTCACCAAACTTGTTTCTTGGATTGTTATGTATAAGTGCCCAATGACCACACAGGTCTGTGTAAGTAGACCTCTAGAATGAGAGCTGGAGCGGTTCAGCACCACCTAGTCCAGCCTTGTTTACACTGGAGGAAACTGAAACCTAGAGAGCTAGAAAAATGACATTTGAGGTTTCACACATTGAAATCAAGTACAGAATTACTTGCCTTTTCATGTTGACAATTCTGAAGAATTCATTTCTTGTTAGGGCTTGTATGATCATAACCCCAAGACATTTTGAAGACAATGGGAACCACCCAATCAGGGAACAAATGGAACTGGTTTCTAAAACTGAGATATCTCAGAACCTATTCAATGGGAAGGAAACATGGCAGGAGCAGGAAAAGATCTAACCACTTTTTTCAAAGGTCATATGTGGTGGTAGATTAATTAGTGTGAACTTCGTGAGGCTACGGACAGTATCTAATCCTATTTTGATGCTTGGCTAATAGGAGGCACCTCAAAGTTAGTATTGTGAAGCACCTAGGATACTCCTAGGTTCCCAATTAATGTGTGAAGCACTCAGCATATGTTGAGTAAATGTTTGATAAATTAAATATGGAGGTTGTAGTCACGCCAGGCCACTTGGCGCCATGGGAAGGATTTTCGCACCATCATCCTCATAAATTCTCTAGTGTGGAAAAAAACAAGGGAAACCATGAAGAGAGCAAGGAAAAAATTTTCCCACATCTGCCTTATTCCATAAAGTACAATTTACATACAAATGCATAAAATAGAAATAACACAAGCAAAGGAATCACATTTGGAACATCATTAAAGAAAAGTCCATTGGTAATGTGTTTGTGTTTAAGAGTTTTACTCTTGGCAAAACAAAACTTCTTTTTGAAAGATAAAAGGTTTATTTTTCAAGTGGCTTCAAATGCAATGAGTCTACAGAGCAGTCACCAGTAACATCTTAATGTATTAATATAAAGTGAATACAAAATATATAAACCTCAACCTTCTGAATGCCTGTGTGACACAAAATGAATGAAAAAGATAGTTCTGCAAATATTTTTTGGATTTTTAATTTAATTTAATCTTTAAATATGTTTTTATTTATTTCAGAGAGAGGAAGGGAGAGGGAGAGAGAGAGATGGAAACATCAATGATTGGCTGTCTCTTGCATGCCCCCTACTGGGGATCGAGCCCACAACCCAGGCAGAATCAAACCTTGATCTCCTGGTTCCTGGGTCAATGCTCGACCACTGAGCCATGACGGCTGGACATATTTTTTGGATTTTAAAAATAGACTTGGTTTTGTAAGTAGCCTGCTCTGTGAAGGGTCAAAAATGTGTCTAAATTTGCATATCTTTGGTCAAGCATTCATTCATTGCTTCTATGCACAATCATTGAGAACCTGCAGTGTTCCAAGGCAGCAAGCAATTGCTATTGAGGGACTAAACAGAATATTCCCTAAAGGGCTTTGAAGGTTGGAAATCCAAATTAAGAAAATGTTCTCTTGATTCTCTGTATCTTCTTGTCCCTGGTTACTTTGTGTGGACAGTACTGGCCATAGTATGCCACAGTGCAAGTGATAAATGAGCTCCATTAGGCATCATTTTATAAACAAACCAATGATGTACTCTCCCTTCCATCAGCTATTTGGATAACTCTGATATATTTGCTGCATTTGCAATTACATATACTTTTTTCTACTTCCTTGTCTTGGTTGTAGTCTTAAGGCCTTATGTTAAATATCGTATTTTGTTTGTTTCATACTTTATAGAGAATTATAATAGATGGTTCCTAGATCTGTATCTGCTTTCTATGATGTGGTTTCTCAGGTGACATAGACTGCATAAGCTCTAATAAACCCTTGCAAAAGTTTTAGGACCAATATAACCATTAGTAGAAATAGAGGTTGCTATTACTATAAGTCATTCTAAGAATCCCAGATGCTTTTTATGTTTTCTACATGTGCTGACAAAAACCTTAACTATCAGAAGAGTTGAGGCATAGCTCTTTCAGAAATCAGATTTTGGAAACTAAATTGATATTCCCAGAAGCTCCTCATATAAAAATACAGGCTTGACCTACTCTGTGATCACAAAACCTAGAAATTGTCTTAATTGTCTTAAGAAGATAAACAATCTTCTGTAATATAAGGATGAAGGTAAGCTGTCAGCACTTCTGAGAATCTGGCCTATACTTTTGTAAAGCACTTCGTTAGTGTGAACAACTTTAGACTTTGGGAATCATTATACAGCAGATATATAAGTTCCTTGTAGCTAATAGGATAAATATCCTGTAAGCATTTTAAAGCTAAATTTGTAGGTGAAACTTAGTAGACAGCTACTGTGGTAGATAGAAGATGAAAAACCTCAATCAAGCCAGGAGCAAAGAACAAAACCTTTCACAAAGGTAACAATACTTCCCCTACTATGTAAAGAATGGTTTCTGTGTAATGGATGCTTTCCAGTGTTTTCTGTTCTGTAATATATCATCTTTCAAAATATCCTATTCATTATAGGCATTTCACTAAAAGATAGTGGTCACAAATTGCAGTTTGAAAACACTAAAATTGAAGGTCAGATCCATCCTAGAAATTGGTATTGGGGGCAAGGCTGGAGAAGTTTGGGGGGAAGGGCCAATAGGTGAGGCTGGTAAGACAACTTAAGGAGGTACTTATTCTAACAAACTGATCTTTTACTTGCACTGTCTGAGAGTGAGTGCATCCTTAAATTTTCCACTCTTGTACCTCACTCTATGTCTTAGTCCCAATCCTGAGAACCAGAAGAGCGTCCTTGATGGGGATACAGTCATTTATCATTGTGGTTGAAGAATGGTATCAGAACCAGGAAGGTAAATAAGACTAGGGAAGAAATCACAGGAAGGGAAATGGAGCAAAGATTTTAGGGCAAACAGTAGGTCAGAAGATCACCCAACAGGCCATACATAATGTGGAGCAGAATATTCCAGAAGGCAGATCTGAGTTAGAAAGGTCCAAGCCAAGAGGAGAGCTCCAAAAACAAGAGGTTTAACCAAGAGAGGCCGGGTTGCTGGCACTAGAGATCTTCTGTCTGGAATGAAGCCTTTCTCTTCCAGAGCAGGGTTTGGGGTAGGGATATACACGTAGCGTAAACCTCTGATAACGACAGTTTAAACAAATAGGGGCCTTATTTTTGTCATGTATATTAAGTCTAGAAGCGGAGGATCCAAGACTGGTGGAGCTGTCTTAAGGACCACACCAAACACCCATGATGCCTGTTTCATCATCCTTAGCATAACCTTAGCAAATTTCCATATTCTAACTGTGGGGTTAGAGCAGGGTTTCTCAACCTTGACACAGTTGATATTTGGGGCCTAATAACTTGTCGTGAGGGCTGTCCTCTGTATTGGGGGATATTCAGCAACATGCCTGGACTCTACCAAATAGATGCCAATAGCAACCCCTCCCCCCTTCCCCACCAATGTCTCTAGACATTGCCAAACAACTCCTGGGGGCATAATTGCCCCTAGTGGAGAGTCACTGTGTTGAAATATAAAACTTGGGGACAGCCCATCCTGGTGGCTTCGCTGACAGAGAATTCTACTTATGGCTGGAGACAGGAAACGGGTCATGTGAGAGCCAGAGGGGACCCTGCAGAGTGTTGGGGCCTGCTTGACTCCAGCCCTGGGAGCGCACGTTAAAGCAGCCTCTTCCTTTGGTTTGGGGGCCAACATCAGGAAAGAGAGAAAAGCAGGAAAACAGCAGATATGCCAGAAATGTGCCCCTGAACCAGGGTTGACACCGAGCAAGGAGAGCAGCGGGAGAAAGGTCACTGAGAGCTCCTGCTTGACTTTGAGATTGACCCTTCTTTTCTGTGTCTTTTTTTTTTTTTTAAACAGAATAATTTCCTCTGAGTTGGGAAAGCAGTAAATACTTGGGCTAATTTGTTTGTGAACGTGGTTCCAAGAAGCGTCCAGAAACCGCGATCCCGTCATTGTGAACAGCGGGCGAAGCCAGGCGCAGAGGCGCGGCCTCGTCAGTACCGCGCAGGGCCAGGGGCTGGGCATGGACTGACTTCAGTGACACATCCTCGGTATCTGGAAGGTCAGTTTGGCTTTTATGACTTAGTTATATTTTGGATTAGCATGCACTTTGTTGTCAAGTGTTTCTGAGGCCACCGTTAATGATTTAAGCACTCTTCAAATTGCTGAAATCCTCGACTAGTAAGTGTATCAACTGAGGCTGCCAAGGGATGCACATTTCCTACGGTCTCTCTGCCCTGACCGAGTTTCCACATTTTTGCCCTTTATTTTCCCTCCTTTAATCTTCCACCTCCTGGTCTCTTTGTTACTGTTTTTGTTTTGTTTTGTTTTGATTTTTCCACGTTTACTGTCGTGGTTCCTCTTTAGGGATTCTGCCCTGTCCTGGGGGTTAGCCATGGGTCTGTGGAGCCCCAGGCAGCCCTTGGGAAGTCTCCCCCAGGTTTCTTGAAACCCGTGAAATTATTTGCCACATTTTGAGTGGACGAACCTGCTTTTCTCTGCAGAACGGGTCCTTAAGAACCCCCTCTCCCCACCATCCAACCCCGATTCCCAAAAGGGTCTTTGACCTGAAAATGATTAAGAGCCAGGGAGGAGCATTTGCCCCCAATTTTCAGCCTAGAAGGCAGAGAGCACATGTGTGGGGGGCTCGCTATATGGCAGGACCTTTGCCCCGTTTTCTCATTTAACCCACACAAGCTCTAGATGATACTGGTGGTGTTATTGTCATAGGCAGTTGAGGAAGCGAAGGCCTGGAGAGACCACATAGCCATGTGGTCTGGCTCAGGGGTCAGAATTTAAGCAGTTCTTTTCAACACTGACTCGAAAACCTCTTTCCAGAACTTGAAAAAGATTGGGCGATGGATGGTCAGGCTGAAGTAGAGGAGAGAGAGGTCTCACATCCCTCCCTGTGCATCCCCAAGGACACAATAAGCAGGACTCAAGTGGGCTGTGGTCAGTTTCCTAGAAAGAAAATGACTAGAACAAGGACAGTCTGCGTTACGGTAACACGATTTCAACAGCCTGCATTATGAACATCATCTCTACCTTCTGAACGCTGTGCTAACAAAATGTGTGGTGCTAACACAAAAGGCTAATTTCAACAGACATTGAAGAAAGAATTTATAATTCAGTTTCACTAATTTGTAGGAAACTTAGTTTTTAACTCATTATAAAATGTGTTAAAACTCTTTAAAATATTTATTTAATACCAACTAACTATCCAGTATGAGTTACCATCAGACTTTTACACAGTGAACCTTAAAAAATTATAATTTCACTGAATGATCCCATTTATATTGCCTACTCCTGTCCGCCATAAGCAAAAAATGTATTAGAATATGGTCTCTCCTTACATTTAATTATTTTTGGAAAAGAAAAATATGACCCTCATTACTGCTACCATTTAAAAAAATTTTCTTCTGTTCTTTATTTGCTCCCCTTCAGCATTTAAAATATGTCAAACAGATAAAGGTAGGGTAGCCTAGTTGTTAAAGGCCTGAGGCTCTAGAAATGGTTACCTGAGTCCAGTGTGGCTGCAACACTTAGTAGTAGCTTAGGCAAGTTACCTACCTTCTCCTAGCTCAATTTCCTCAAATGAGAAATGGGATTAATAATAGCTCCTACTTTTGAAATTGTGATAATTAAATTATAATTCATTTAAAGCCCATACCACAGTGCTCCATTAGCTTTAGATATTATTGTTGCTAGTTCTACTGGTGATACTGTGGTTGGAATCTGAAAGTTTTCCTTTTCCTGATGACAACATGTGTCAATGTTGACTTCACTACACTTTAATGGCAAATGCAATTCTGTTAAAGGCAAAACCAGAGCAAAAAAACCAGAAACAAAAACAAACAAACAAAAACACTGGGGAAATATATGTAAGTTTATATATGAAATCAAACAGTTAAAACTGTGGACACTAGATTCCACATAACAGTTTTAAGTGTCACCAATGGTAGGAGACAAACAGTTGAAAGAAGATGTAGTCCGGTCCAGGCATTGTTTTTTAATGATATAACTATCTGGATACAATGAAAACTTGTAAAGTAGAGATAATTCCATTAAGGAGAGCTGCTGTTTCTAGAACTAGACATTAGGGTGGGAATTCTGTAAGACATAAATGTTCTGAATTTCAGCCCAATGTGGCAGTTCAGTGAGGTGGGAGCTAGTGTCCAGGAACCAGGAATGAAAAGAGAAGTGGTCTGATTAAATTATTCCCTTTATCTGTAAAAGGAATATATCACAAGAAACCTGTAAGCATGCTCCATTCCAGAATTCTATGATGCTGGTGTTCTAACTTAAGTAATTATTTTAATGGATAGAACTTCCTGATATAAATGGATATTTAAGGATATAACTTTCTGAAATTAGTTTTGAATACAATAAAATTGGCCTGCAGATTGGAATTTGAAGTCCTCATGTTCCATAACATCATCAGTACTTTTGAAACATAAGTGGCAGAGCTGTTTACTGTCGTTCCTGCTGGGATCAGTAATCTTTTGTAAATACCAACATGTTTCTGTGAGAGACGAAGAGCTGACAACTACACAGACCACACTTTGCCTCTCAGCTTCCAGCAGAAATTTCCATTTTACCCTTCTGTCACCTGTGTTCTGAAGGTAAACACTGTAAATCTACAGTAGCATTCAATTTAGATAAGCCTTCAGATAGCAACAGTGGATGATGATAAAGATACCGCCTTCTCATTGTCTGTAATCTTTCATCTGGGAGAATTTAAAAGAATTTTTATGAGGAAAAAAAATCTATCCAGAAATTTAGTCAATTCTATGATGAGTAGCTATACATAACATCTTTAAAAATTCAGATATAATTCGCATACCATAAATTTAGCGTTTGAAGTACAATTCAATGGTACACATGATATTTTGAAAAGAGATCAATTGACATGTGTCTGGCACACAATAGGCACTTTAAAACTATTAGTTCCCTGTTCCTTTTCCTATATCAATATATTTGGAACTTGAAACAAATGAAATGAAGACACAGGAGACATTAGTAGAGGTTCTCTTCTGCCCTGTCCTGCTCATGAGAGCTGACTGTGCCCATCTCTTCATCTCTTCCAACTCTGACATGGACCATGGTGGGAATATTTTTTACCATGGAAACCAACTAGTTCTATAAACAGGCATATTGTGTTGTTTGAGCTGGTGGTTAAATATTTACCAGCATACCACTTGCTAATGTCTATCAATTTCTTCAATACTAAATTTTATCATTACTCAGGGCCACATTCCATGCCTCATCTCTTTGTGATAACCAAGACATTTTGCTCAGTTTTCATCAGTTGGAAACAGAGAATCTGAACTGGATGATACTATATCATCCAAGTTAATTTTTGGTACTAACTTGCTTGATACTATAGCAAGCAAGTTAATTTTTGTATATTTTTTGGGGGGATGGTAAGGAACACATACCGTGAAATGTATCATGTTAACCATTTTTTTAAGTATACAGTTCAGCAGTGTTAAGTGTGACTGGTTAGTTTTGCCTGGCGCGGTTTGTGTGGTGGAGATGAGCATGGTGATAAAACGTCTAAGTGGTCTTCTTATTCCTGCGTAAGGAGGTGTGAAATTCTATTCTGATCAGGCTCATGCCCTCGCAGTTTTTTGATTGATTTGTTTCTGGCTGGTCTTTTGGAATTTCTTGCAACCAATTTCAGATCAAGCCAATTCTTAGGGACCTCGGTCACCAGGGATCCTGGATCTCCTTCCTAGAACATTGCAGTTGTGTGATTCAGCCTTAACGGCCCTCTCAGTCTCTCTGGCTCTCAGTGCCAAACTCCAGATTCCTAGGTCAGGCCTGGGACTCGCCAAGCATGGGTCCGGAACACAGTTGCATTGTTCCTATGCTGGCTCCAAGGCAGTCACTTTGAATGATATGTTGCTGGCGGCAGGGTTCAGGAGCAGCTTTTTCACATAGGGAGATTCTGGGCAGTTCAAGCATCAGTCTAGTGCAATGTGCTGTTAGATTATGATAAATAATAGCTTTAAAGAAAATACTTAATCAAGAGAGTTGGAAATATTTTAATTGGAATTTAGTTCAGAATGTGGAGAATATTAAAGTACTGTATAGACAGCTTAAAATTTTTGTAATCTAGAGGAGAGAAAGGAGTTAATTAGCATTATTCTCTGGGGACTACATCTGGTTAAAACTGTAGTTGTATAATTATAAAACCAATTCCTTGGGTTTAAACAGGGACTGTTCTTTTGGGCAGTTTCTGGTGTGAGTTAAACATTCACACATGTACCCTCATATTGTTTAAATGAGAAAGGGGGTTTCAGATTTTTTAGCTCCACTTAAAGTGCACAGATTGTGATAGAAACATTTGAAGTGAATAATTTCCAGGCACACAATAATTTACAATGAGGTCTGGAGTCTTCTCAAGACCCGTGTAGACATTTTCCCAAAAGGCAATTATGATGTGGGAGACAGAGCATAGAATTTGGCACTGAGATTTGGTCTGTTAGTCACTTCTACCATTTTTACACCAGTCACAAGCTATGTGATCTTGGACACATCATTTAAAACTTTCTGAGCCTTTATTTCCCCTCCATAAAAGAGAGAATCATATCTATTTGACAGAGTTGTATTAAAAATTAATATATATAAATATCCTTATAAACTATAATGTTGCTTTCAAAAGGGTGGAGTTAATATTTTTATTCAGTTTTTTTAATAGAATATTTTCTTCATGTATAACCAAGCATTTATACATATCTAATGTCTACTTATTACTTCATTAACCATTTTTTGGTATCTACCACATGGCAGATACTGTGTCAAGCCATTGGGATAACAGGATGTATCTAAAATGATCCCTGCTCTCAAGTAGCCAAACCCAAAACTACTTGTTATTTAATCTGAGCAGCCATCAGCAGTGCTC